ATTTTAAGGAAATTTATGCATTTCCTGTATTTGAAATACACGAAATTCCTATTCTGCTTAGGGAATACACGTATTTACTGATTTCATTTAAGAAATACGCGTATTTACTAAATTTATAAAAAAATAATTACGTATTTAATGACTGTGATTTTGTAAAGATAATTTCAAATATGAATCATAAAATATGAACAGATGCACAATATATTCAACTTTTACGTGCATAAATGATATTTTAAAAAAAAAAACAATTTATTTGTATATGAAAAATTGAAAATGCATTATTAGTGAATATTAATAAAAAACAAACTAACAAAAAAAATAATATTAATGGTATGTGTACACTGCGATTTATTGTCTGGAAATCACAACTATTTTAACTAAATCTTTATATTCTATTTATATTCAAAGAACTAAAATCGCTTACTGACATTTCTTATTTTACCAGATGTTCATACAATGCTACTTTGTATTCATTGACAGTAAATTTAAAACCCTGAAACGTCTTATTTGCAAATCTATTATAAAGCCCTTAATTACTTCTTTAGCATGAAATGATGAAATTAAAAAGCGATCTGTGATGTCTCTAAATGATAGCACAAGTGTTTCACAAACAGATCTTGTTCATTCAATTTAAATTAGTCCACCGATTTCACTGAAAGTGGGGGATGTAAATTTTGGTCTGTCTGTAACACTTTTGTTTCCATGTTTGATATCTTGAGAATCATTTGAACTTATGCATATCAGCTTGATAATAAAGTTGATAATAATTACGTTGTTTATACTTGATATTATCAAAAAAATATTTTTCATTCATAGGTTTATTTGTTTTAATTTTTTTTTACTTTGTCAGTTTTTTTTTTCAAAATTATAGTTGCTTTGTCTTTATATATAAAGATGCTTTGTCTCTCAAGAAACAAATGTGTTGAATTTGCAGATTGCAACTTCGGAATATTTGAGAAATGAAAAAAAAATTATTTTTCCTTATCCTTCATGACTTAAGATAAATAACTTGTTATATTTATACACGAGGGACGTTCAATAAATAATGTCATCGGGGCTCGGAAAAAAGCAAAAGACGCTTTTTAATGATTTAGTCTTCATGATTTGACTTATTGATCTCTTTTGATTAAAATAGATGTCCGTCAAAGTTTTTATTTAATTTCTGATTGTATTTAGAACACATTTTTAGGTATGACCCTTAGTATACTGGAAAAAAGCAGATCCAATGTTTTTATCTTTCTGAAATGTGGTTTTTCAAGTAAGGAAATAGAAAAAGTCAAAAGGTAAAAGATCTAGCGAATAATGTTTATGTGAAAAAATATTAACTTTCTTTTTATCCCGAAAACCTCTTTACTCTTCAGGGGTGCAGGGTTTGGACGCTGTCATTAAGAAATTTAATGTAGTGGATTCCTGATTCTAGGTTCATCCTCTAATAAACCTTTCGATTTTTTTTTTTGAGAAAAGAATGCTTTCTAGACTCCTCCAAAAATTAAATTGTTTCCCCGAATATGAAATTGAACAAGAGTACCACTAATATTTAAGAAAATTGCATATAAATCTGTCTTTGTGTTCTTGCATACCTTTGCTCTTGTCGGACCATTGCTGTTTTTATCAAGTACATCTTATGGTAAATTTTGTGTTAAGTGTTTTAAGCAATAGATTCATGTTCCCTCATCTGTTTGAATATGACACAAACTTGGATAACTACAGTTACTGATATTTTAAAATAATTGTTAAGACATTCCTACACTCTGTCGTTTTCACTCATTTTTCAAAATATAGGGTGATCTTTGAGTACCAAGCTTTTTTACCATCAAACGTTTCTTAAAAACATTATAAACTACTCCCGATATGATGTAAATCAAATTTCCTATCTGTCTTAAAGTCAGGCATACATCATCAGATATTATTTTTTTGAAATTGGGCAAATAGCACATAAGTTGTTGTAATTTTTGTTGGCAAGGACGGTACCCTTTTTTGATGCCCATTATATAATTTTTTATCATTTAAATCCACCTTCTCATTTGTCTATAGAACAGGCATTGGTTGCTGTAAATGTCACATATTTCAGTGAAAATTTCTTTGGGATTTTTAACACGTTTTACAGCAGCTTTAATGAAGCTTTTATTTTCACTCTAGTTTACTGGTTCTTTACCATTTATTTATAATGCAGTGTCTCGAGTAGCCCTTGTTTCCCAGCTTCTCACGATTAAACTATGTGATGAAAAGTGGTCACAGAAACTGTTATCAATTCATTAAAGATTCAAAAATGAGAGAAAGTCTAGCTTAATGTCATATGATTTTTATCATGTATGTCATCGAGTAAATGACATTATTTATCGAACGTCCCTCGTATATATTGTAATAAACTGTTACTTTTACAATTTTTGTTTATATTAAATTTTCATAATTGGTTTGAGTATCACTGCATCATTATTTTACAATAAAAGAACCATGAAATAAATTAAGTATGGATATAAAATGTCTTGTCTTTCCTCTGCGATTTTCGTATTATTTTTTTTTATTCAAAAGTGCACTTGCTGAGCATTTCTGTTGTGATTTTCACATTGTTCAGACTAATTTGCAGCGAAAAGAAAATACTTGGTAACTTTATGGAATTCAATTAATTAAAACTCCCAGTAATCAAATGTTTATAGAGAAATGTCGACAGATAACAGATTCTTCCGTTCTTACCTGTTCATGACAAGGAGCATACGGCGGGTGTGACCGGTCAGCAGGGGATGCTCACTCCTCCATAGCACCTGATCCCACCTCTGATATTTCGAATGTACTATGCTTTGCTACTATTTTGTATTGTTTTATGGACTTTGATATTGAATACTGTTCGTTATTTCCATTGTGAAAAAAAAATAGTTCAACAACGATTCGGATAACTGGGCTTCCAGAGAAATATTTTTTTTAAAAAAATTCATTGATAACAGTGAAAAATCAATTGATATAAAAGGTTAATTGATATACATGTAACAAGGATTCTATGGAACTTTTAAGCAAAAATAGGTTTAGAGAACTATTGCAATATCAAGGATTTATAGAATTTTGAAGCCAGAAGAGATTTAGAGAAATATTGAAATATCAAGGATCCGGTAGAACTGAAACAAAAGGGATTTGAAGGACTATTGAAATAACAACTGTAGAACCTTTGAGATTTAGAAAATTAATGATATAACAAAATTTTACAGGGAATCAAAAATGAATTAAAAGGGCTATTGAAATAACCACTGTAGAACATTTAAAGCAAAGATGGTTTGGAGAACTATTGGAATAATAAGAATTCAGTAGAGCTTCTGAAGCAAAAGGAATTTAGAGAACTATTGAAATACTTAGTACCAAGCATTTTGGGGAACTTTTGAAGCAAAAAGGGTTTAGAGAATTATTGAAACAACCAACATTCTACAAAATTTTTGAAGCAATAAAGACTTAGAGAGCAATTGAAATACTAATGATCCTGTAGAACATTTGAAGTAAAAAAGGCTTTGGTGGACTATTGTAAATTATAGAAACAACTGTGGACACCTTTGAAGGAAAGGGGTTTTCATTTGTTCTTATGTGTCTTATAAGTGTTACTGTCATGAGTCTTAGAAAAGAACACCTTCCTGTGGCAACAGGTAATAAGATGGACATTTTAAAAATATTTCAATCACTCTCTCATATCATATCGTCGCCCGCGTGGCGCAGTGGTAAGAGCGTCTGCTCTAGAGTCGCGAAGTAAGGAGTCAATCCTTACGTCGCGGGTTCTAATCCCACTGTGGGACGTGGAGACCGGTCCTTCGGATGAGACCGTATAAACCGAGGCCCCGTGTCGCAGTAGGTGCTGGCACGAAAAAATTCCTCACTGCTCAAAGGCCCTGAGTGAAAAGCATAGGATAAAATTTGTAGCCCTCAACCGGCAAGTGGTGGCGTCTCCATATGAGTGAAAAATTCTTGAGAGGGACGTTAATCAATCAATCATATCATATCAACTGGAGAAAAATCCAAGGCCAGACATTTTAAATTATAGTATAGAATACATGTAGGATGACGTGATTCTGTAACTTTATTTCATATGCATGTTTATCTCTTTCACTTTTGGTAAGATTGAATGAGAACGGTTTATAATTTGATATCATTTGAGACTTCGTTTAATAGAGACGAGAATGCTTTGATAACTAAATCCTCAATTAATTTTTGATTTTTGTCTTAGATATAAGATGAAATGAAAGATTTAACAAAAGTAGTTCAAAAAACATATAGTTTTTTAACGTATACAAGCTATTATATATTTAGATTTTAGTTCAATTTCGCACAGAATTTTTTATTTGTATTCGATAATTTATAGCTTGGATGGAAAATTATACAATTCAAATGAAAAGTTATAGAATACAAATTGAACATAAAGGGAATTCGAAATAAATTTTACAAAACAAATAAAAATTATACAGTACAAATGGAAAATTGTACATTGCAACACAGTGTATGATTATAGAATACAAATAAAAAATCAGGCAATCCATATGGAAAATTTTTACAATACAAATGGAAATTTATAGAATACAAATAAAATTATACAATACAAATGAATAATTTTACAATATAAATGGAAAACTATAGGATGCAAATAAAAATTATGCAATTCAAATGGAACATTTTACATTGCAAATGGAAAATTATAGAATGATTGATTGATTTTATATTGTTTAACGCCGAATCGGCAATATTTCAGCCATATTTCGGCGGAATTATAGAATGAAAAAAAATATATACCGGTAATATGAAAAAAAATTGAAATACAAAGGGAAAAATTTTAATTTTGTAACTTTTGACATACCATAGTTTAAAAACATTCATAAGAAAAATGAATTAAATAAATATTCAACAATCTAAGTACTGCCTTTTTTTGTTATAAACATTTAAAACACTTTCTTCGGTTCGTACAATGCATATTTATTCAATTTGAAATATATTTGATGTCGAATTATATTTTCCTTCTTTCCCGCTCCCCGAAAAACAAATGACCCGGAAGTTAATGTGAAGTGGGTCAATAGATTATTGCATTGCTCTAAAGGAGCCATGTTTTAGGGCGTAAAAGGTAGGACAAATCAATATTAATCTTTTAATTGAATATCTTTTATTTTTTCTACATATAGATGCAGTTAATGATATTTGTTTATAAACTGCAATTTAATTCTTGAAAGTTGAACTAGCCAAACAGCGTTTATTCTACTTTCAGTTTAAAGCGATTTCCAAATAAACCCTAGCCCAGAATTTTACAACTCGTAACTTTAAAACATTAATTTACTTTTCAAAAAATAAAATAGCATAAAGTTGTTTAAATTCTTATACAATTGAATAAGTAAAGTTACCCGTGCATGTAGGTCTCCAGTAAAGAAAAAAAACTGTCGGTTCGTTAAAACTTAAAATGGATGTGTTAATTAAAGACCCTCTTCAAATGTTGAAAAATAAATAGTAGAATACAAAATTAATTTAATTCAACTTTACTTCATCATCCATTGGAGACCATGGCTAGTTTAAACTAAATCAAAATGAAGGTGTATATAATAATGATATTTATTTACTATGCAATTAATTGTTAAACTAAATTAACGTAAATGATTCCTCGTCCATTTTAACTAAAATTACTTACTCTGGCACATTCTTCCGAAAGTTTCAATATTCTAACTTTCGTGCCAAACTTTTTATGTAATTTAATAACCTTTACCTTTTAAGTTAGCTTGGGGTTCTGATATTGCTCTAAAAAGATTTTCTGAAGTTATTTTCTATTTTTTTATCAAACTTATTCATATGTACATTCTATTCTTTTATTCAGAAAACTTTTAAACATGGCTTCGGGGTTTGCTCAGCACTATGTGGAATGTACAACATGCGATAGCAATGCTGAGTACCATTGCAACACATGTCAATTTGACTTGTGTCAGGCCTGCAAAGAAACCCATCAGCGAAAGAAGAAAACGGAAAACCATGAGGTCGTTCTGTATAAAGAAAGAGAAGAAAAAGTACAAGAAAGGTGCTGCACGCACAGCGACAAAATATATGACGCCTGCTGCAAAGAATGCGAAATACCTGTATGTATAAAATGTATAATGGAAAGCCATTCATGTCACGCCATTGTGGAAATCGAAGTCATGTTCAATGAGAAACTTGAAATGTTTACCAAACAAATACAAGAGTTGAAAGAAAAAATAATTCCACAGTGCGAAGATATTCAAAAGAATATAAGCCAAAAAATGGAAAACTGCAGAAAATCACTTTCACAAATTCGATCAGATTTGTTAGCTACCGCTCAATCCATCAAAGACCTGGTGGACCTGATACTTAAAGAGAAAACAGAAAATTTAAGTAAAATTGAAGACAGTCTTATGAAGGAATTGCAATCTCATGAAAAAGAGATGAAGACATACACCGACGACCTTAATTCTATTATCGAAGATGTCGAAGTTCTAAGGAGAACAGGCAAAAAGGCCGAGTTTATAATCAAACATAAAGAAAAATTACTAATACACCACTTAGAGTCGCTCGGTGATATGTTTTATACCCCGACTCCATCATTTACGTCGTGTTCTGTATCCAAGGAGCAGATTGAGAAATTATTTGGGGATGTTGTTGAAAAGCCAAAAATTCCTTTACCCGGTACATCTGATCTGCATCGCCTTGTTGAAAAAGCGAGATTTTTTCCTCCTTATTTTGAAATAGCGATGACTTTCGAAGAAATCGGTCACATTGACGTGTCTGGTGTTAATAAAATACACCATATTGTTTTCCAAGATGAAAATACATTCTGGGTCAATGATGGGTCTGAATGTCTAAGACAGACAGACATGCAAGGACAAATATTACACACGATCAAAACTGCTTCTAATGGAGACGGCATTCATACATTCACAGAACATGGTATTCTATATATTGCACCAAATAAACGTGATATACACTTATCAGGCCGGGAGGGAAAAGTAAGAGATCTCATTACTATTAATGATTGGGATTTAAAAAGTGTCTACAAAAGTCGTTTGAATGGCGATATCTTTGTTGGGATGAGGAAAGAATCTACAGATGCTCGAGTCACGAGGTACAATGAAAACGGTGAAATTCTTCAACATATCCAATACACTAAACAGCATATAGGATCCAATCCAAATCCACACTTTATAACAGAAAACAGGAATGGCGATGTAATAGTGACAAGTAATGGAAACAAAAAGGTTGTAGTTGTGATGGACAGATCGGGAAGATACAGATTTAGCTATACAGGAAATCCAGGAAACTCGATTGCAAATCCCTGGGGAGTAGTGACGGATATTCTAAAGAACATTCTTATTTGCGACAGTGATAACAAAAGGATCCAGATTATCAACGAAGATGGCATGTTTCTCGCATACATAAATGTGCCTAATGCGTACGGTTTTCTTAGCGCTGTGGATGTTGATGACATGCATTACGTTTGGGTGGGATTTTCGAGTTCTGGTACAATAAGAAAATTTCGATATCTTCAAGAATGAGATTAAGTCTTTTCATTCCAAAAGTCTTCATGCAGTTTTGATACTTAGAGCTAAGTTTGATTTGATGTTGGGTTTTTTTTCAAATCATTAAAGATAAAATTCCATATACTGAGAAGGACTCTCTAAAAATTGAAATGCATGGCATCTGATCCCATCTCTGATGTTTTGGAGGTCCATGTTCAAGCTTAAAAGTCCATAAAATGATGCAAAATAGGAGCAGAGAAAATACTGTTCGTTATCTCCATATACTTATGCACTAGTGTGATGTCAAAGTGATTTTGTTTCCTTACATAACGAAGCGAAAATAAACTGCCAGGATTTTTTCATTATTTTTTTTTTAAATCAACATGGTTTTGTGCGTTACTCTCAAAACTTTATATTTAAGATTTCTCCACACCCAGTAATATGAGATGTCCATCGAGAAAAAATACTTTTACTTCGATTTATAAAGATTGTGCACTGCCGATTCGCCATATGAGTGAAATATTCTCGAGAGGGACGTTAAAAAATAATAAAAAAAAAAAAAAACAGAAAAAAAATAAGATAATGGAAATTTATCTAACAGAAAATTATAAAACAAAATAAAAACAGACACCTATAGAATAAAAAGGTACATACATGTAATACAAATTATGGAATACACAATACGATCGATATAAACAAATTATGAAAAACGTATTTGAAAGAGATTACATCAGTTAAATTATTGGGTAGAGTGTCATTTGGATGGGAAGAATCACCCTAAAGTTGGCAATTTACCAGGGTTTTACAAAGACAGTCATAGTAAAGTATCAGTTATTGCTCCTTCTCTGTAAGAAGTTTGTATCACTGTGCATAATGCATTTCCTACAAGGGGCTACTGTATATTTTCCTTAATCCACCTATTCTAGAAAAAGTTGTAAAATACAATTTAAAATGAGAAATGATATTAATAAACTCTGATTTAATTGTTTCCTCATTTTATGACCAAAAGTTGTATATAATCCTTTTTTTTCATTTTGAAAGATTTTTTTTTCATCTTTAAGGATAGATGATACAAACCAGAAAAGGATGCCTGGGTTGGTATATATTTTGTGGAACATCTTGATTTTTAAATAATTAGAATAATATTTTTTATAAACTGTACAATATTTTGTCACATTGTAAAAATTTGAATAAAACAATTAAAAACTGGTGATATAAATATTAACCAGATGTTTTTTTTCTTGATTTTTTTTAAATTAAAGTTTGTATTGTCTTTTTTTAAGGAAGCGAAGCAATAGATACATGTATGACAACAAAAATGAGCATAGAAAATCCTTTTTAAAATTATATCCCACGCTTGAAAATGAGAGGGGATATAGTGATAGAAAGTTAAATAAAAGTAACATTTACCCGTTTTACATTCACCTAAAACACAGTCAATGCTTAGATTTGAAAAAATGTTATAAATTAACTAGAGGTACTGTGAGCAATGAGCTAGCTCACTAAATGATATCCCCACTCCCATATAAATATATTGGCAGTGTCCATGGTTTGCTCTGGAAAACCCAAAATATGTGTCAGATCAAAAAGTAAAATAGGAGGTGCACAATAGCAATATGTAACGGAGATCCTGTGAAAGTTTCATCAAATTTTATTGAGTGGTATGAGAGGATTAGCAGAAGAGAGATGAGTATCCAAAAGCATAACAGGCGGAAGGACATCCCAATTACTATATAGTAATTACTATATAGTTATAATACTATACTCGGTATTTACCCTCGGGGGATGGGGGGGGGGGGGTGTTTTAATGATACATTTTCATTACCTTTATATGCCGCTATTCCTGCCGAATCGCCATCAAAAGCGTCAACGCCAACTATACTTTTTCGTATTATACACTTAAAACACTTTCCTCGGGTCGAACAAATTCAATGCATAATTTTTTCCATCTAAAATATATTTGATGTCGAATTTAATTTAAAAAAAACAAAACTTATTCATCACTTTTTCGCTCCTCGAATGACCATGAATTTAAACTGGCCTGCTTGTTTGATTTGCGCGATATACTTTACATACGATACGATAGAGACAAGGAAAACTAGAGGTACTGTGAGCGATGACCTCACTAAATGATACCCCCCGCCTCCCATATAGTTATAATGACAAAGTCCATGTTTTGCTGTGGCCGGGACACCCAAAATATGTGTCGGATCAAAAAGTAAAATAGGAGGTGCAAAATGGCAATATGTAATAAAGATTCTGTGAAAGTTTCATTAAATTTCACTCAGTGGTATAAGAGGAGTTGCGGATAAAAGATGGGTACCCAAAACCGTAACAGACAGACGGACGGACGGATGTACCGATTACAGTTTACCCTCCTACTTTTTAAGCGGGGGGTATAAAAACAGTCTACCCTAAATGGCAACAAAATGACCCGGAAGTTAATGTAAAGTGGGTCAATCGATTTTTAAAAAGATTGAACAGTTGAAAGGAGCAATGTTTTAGGGCGTCCATAGTAAAAATTTGTGAAAGTGCAAGGATGTGTCAATCAAACTCGCCAAAAAATTTAAAGTTTTAATAACTTTGAAATGAAATAAGATTTTTAATTAATTTTTGTGTGAAATGCTATTAAAATATATAAGTCGTAATATTATTCAGAAAAAATTACCTCCGAATCTGTGTCCAAGTACCTTTAATTCATATACAATGATTGAATAAGTTAGTGATTGAATAAGTTAGTCAAGTTACCCGTAGTTCTCCAGTTCGTTCGTTAAAACTTAGAATGGACATATTTCTGACCGAATGGATGGTACTTTAAGGCCTTAATGAAATGTTGAAAAAATAACAAGTAGAATACACATTCATCAATCAATTTTATTCAACGTAATTTTATCATTTCAACGGACACTATTGCAAGTTTATATTCCAAATCAAAATTTGTAAGTGTATAGTAACGATATATTTTTATGCGCCCGAATTTATTCTGGGCGTATATTATGTTCCCCAAACGAAGTTGGGGAACATATTGTTTTACTCTGTTTCTTATTAAGGTCTTCCGTCTCCAACGGAAGACCTTCTTGTTATTCTTCGGTTTCTTTTTCCCTATTATTATTATTATTATTTTTCTTACCGATTTTGTGCACGCGATTTCTCGTAAACTACTGGGCCGATTCTCATGAAACTTTCACATCTGATAGGTACTGATCTGAACCTTATTGGAAATTTTTTTCGTTGACGTCGTCACTTCCGGTCGTGAGATATGGACAATTTCCTGATTTTAAAATGCAATTTTGTCTTGATTTAGTAGCAAAAACTGCTTAAGATATGAACTGAAGATTAATTGGAGATGATAGTTCATGACTTATAGCGTTGCAGAATCGCCTTGCCGTGCGTCGTCAGTACTTCCGGTCGATACCGGAAGCGAATTCAAAAAACGCAATTTTTCAACTTTTCTTTTTTAATATTTTTGTTTTTGATATGAATAGAGACCCTTTTGCAGAAGCGAAGTATGTACATTTGTAATTTGTTTGAAAATCGAAAAAGCCAATCTCGAGATATTTGCATTTGAAAATGCGAAGCGGCGATCCCAATGGCTAAATGGTTAGCGTGTTGGATTGTCACGCGGGCGACCCGGGTTCGATCCCCCATATGACCAAAAAAATTTTATCATTTTTTCTGCTCGAATTTTCGATATTATTTAATTTTAGACCATTAGGAACAATATATTATAATCTTTAAAGCATATCTTGCGTAATTAGGGGTCACAAAGGGCCGGAATATCAAATCTTTGACGCTTTATATCTCGAAAAGGGTCGATATTTTGATAAGCAGTATTGAACAAAAGATGACCAGAATAATGTTCTTTACAATATGCATACTTTGAATTTTTGTAAAACGGCCCCATTAAGGACTTGTAGGAGTGGCCCCTAAATATTTTCATTGAGCATATCTCCACAACAAAAAGAAATCTCTGAATAAGTGTTGAACAAAAAATCTTCAAAATCACAAGACCTTTCATTTGATATCAAGAAAATGGGGCTGACCCCTCAAATTAGGGGCTCATAGGGGCCAAAAGCCTTTTATCTATAACTCTCTAATGATCAATATTTTGTTATACATTACTGAAGCAAAAGTATTTATCTTACCGATTTGCAGCAAAATATGATGATATTTTAATAATATATTACGTAATAAGGGATCAAAAGGGGCCAAAATGTCACACCTTTGACGCTTTATATCTCAAAAAGGGGGAATATTTTGATAAGCAATATTGAACAAAAGATGGTCAGAATAATGTTTTAAACAATATGCATACTTTTAATTTTTATAAAACGGCCCCATTAAGGACTTGTAGGAGTGGCCCCTAAATATTTTCATTGAGCATATCTCCACAACGGAAAGAAATCTCTGAATAAGTGTTGAACAACAAATCTTCAAAATCACAAGACCTTTCATTTGATATCAAGAAAATGGGGCTGACCCCTCAAATTAGGGGCTCATAGGGGCTAAAAGTCTTTTATCTATAACTCTAACGATCAATATTTTGTTTTACATTACTGAAGCAAAAGTATTTATCTCACCGATTTGCAACAATATATGATGATATTTTAATAATATATTACGTAATAAGGGGTCAAAAGGGGCCAAAATGTCACATCTTTGACGCTTTATATCTAAAAAAGGGGGAATATTTTGATAAGCAATATTGAACAAAAGATGGTCAGAATAATGTTCTAAACAATATGCATACTTTGAATTTTTGTAAAACGGCCCCATTAAGGACTTGTAAGAGTGGCCCCTAAATATTTTCATTTAACATATCTCCACAACAAAAAAGAAATATCTGAATAAGTGTTGAACAAAAATCTTCAAAATCACAAGACCTTTCATTTGATATCAAGAAAAAGGGGCTGACCCCTCAAATTAGAGGCTCATAGGGGCCAAAAGCCTTTTATCTATAACTCTTAAATGATCAATATTTTGTTATACATTACTGAAGCAAAAGTATTCATCTTAACGATTTGCAACAATATATGATAATATTTTTATCATATGTTACGTAATTAGGGGTCGCAAGGGACCACAATGCTATATTTTTTATGCTTTATATCTCGAAAAGGGGGAGTATTTTCATCAGCCTTATCAAACAAAAAATGTTCAGAATATCGTGATAAAAATGAGAAACTTTAACTTTAGCTATGGAAAACTCAATGTCATTCTCTTTAAACAAAAATCTCAGTCAAAATCACATCTCATCTTATCTAGAAATTCAACGGAAGACCTACTCGTTGCTCGCAACGAAATCTCATCTAGTTATTATTATTATGTCGCCCCGAACGAAGTCGGGGACGACATATTGATATTGTACGCATGTTTTTTTTATCCAGGCTGTTTCTCGGAGATGGCTGGGACAATCTTCCTGAAACTTTCCTCAAAGGACGATCACTGGTTGTAGTTGTGCAGTGAGGTCATTCAGTTCCAATATGTCTACCGTTGCTATGGAAACCTGTAAAAAGCGACAAATTTTGTCCGAGAGTGTTCTCTCTGGTCCCTTAAACGTTCGTCATGAAACTTTTCTTATTTTAATGATTAGTATCTGTAGTTCTGCAACTCGTATTTAAAATTTTCATATAATCGATTATTGCCATGGAAACCAGGTGAAAGTTCAAATTCTTTAATTTCGATTTTCTCAATAACTACTCAGGCAATCGTTTTGAAACTTTCAATGTTTATTCCTTGCAATGTGTCAAAGTGATTTCTACTTTCAAAATAATTGTAATGAGTCGATCACAGTTGCCATAGAAACGAAACAGAAAAAAAGATTCAGTTGTACACATGTGTTCTCCAAGGTCTAGGTCAAAGGGTCAAAGTTCGTCGTATCCAATAAAACTTCTTTTCACAAGGATTACATATTTGATATACGAAAGCCCTAGTACTTACCGTTCAAACGTTATGGCTATTTACTATGTTCAAGACGACCCCCCCCCCTTTTTTTTTTGAAGCACACAGCCAAGTAGAATACACAGATATAACATATTATACAACTTACAAGTAACTTTGTAAAATCTTCATTCATAAAATTCAGTTCCCGTCATGTGATATTTTGCCATCATTC